TTTTTTTTTTTTTTACAGTATTAGGGATTGAACTCAGGGGCACTCGACCACTGAGCAATACCCCTGCCTCCCCCTTTATTTTTTTAAGACAGGGTCTTGCTAAGTTGCTGAGGCTAGCCTTGAGTTTTCTATCCTTCTGCCTCAGCCTCCCAAGTCATTGTGCACCAAATGCACAGCTCAAGGCACACTTTTTTATTATTATTAATTCAATGTTTTTAATCATTTGAAGGTCTTTTTCCTATAAAATCTTTACATGCTCATTTGTGGTTAGAAAAGAGAGAGAGAGAGAAATATAAAAAAGGATTTAAAAAGAAACAGTGATCCCCCTGCTCAGAGATAATGGGTTCTAGTTTTTTCTATGCATACATATGTGTGTTTGGTGCTAGAGATTGAACCTAGGACTTTGTGCATGATGCTGGGTATGTGCTCTTCCATTAGCTACTTCCTTGATCCCTTTTGTGTGTATAAGTGTGTGTGTGTGTGTATGTGTGTATGTGTATGTGTGTATGTTGAAAGATAATTGAGCTCACTCTAAATGTCCAATGTTATGTGTCCTGAATTTTGCACTTCATAAGCATTTTCCATGTTAAAATCTTCCAAAACATGCCACCACTAAAAATCTATAGAGGGCTGGGGTTTGTGGCTCAGTGGTGGAGCGATTGCCTAGCACATGTGAGGCACTGGGTTTGATCCCCAGCACCACATAAAAATAAATAAATAAACTAAAGATATTGTGTCCATCTACAACTAAAATATTTTTAAAATAATCTGTAGCTTTTGTGCATATTATTTATTCAGTCTAGTATAGATGAACAGTTAGGACAATTGTCATCACACTACAGGTGACCATCTTTAGCCTTTCAGATTATTCCATGGTCTGGATGCTTGAAACATAATCGGTCCTTTCATGTTAGCCTTTTAAAGATGGACTGTGAACCCCCAAATCTTCCTCTTTTAATTGGCAACTATAAAAATAAGCTATTTGTCAGCCATGGTGGTGTACATCTATCATCCTAGCTGCTTAGGAAGCTGAGGCAGGAGGATGGCAAGTTCAAGGCCAGCCTTAGCAACTTAACGAGACCCTGTCTCAAAATAAAAAATAAAAAGGGCTGCGGGTGTAGCTGAATGGAGAGTGCTCCTGAGTTAAATCCTCAGTACCAAAAAAAAAAAAGAAGAAGAAGAGCAGTAATTAGCTCTAATTCCAAAGTGATCAACACCAATAGCTAATAAATGAAAATATAAATTTTCATCTCTCAGCTACACTTGCCACTTTTATTACTGGATGTGTTAACAAAGTGCTGAATTTGGCTGGAGGAAAGTTCTACCTATACCTTATTTGAAAGCAGTTTTCCTTTATCTTATTATCTTATTTTAGGCGGATTACTTACAATCCACTCAAATGAGTTGTTTGAGGGCTAAGCCTATTTTTATTCATTTATTTTTTTTGGTCTTTTCTTTCTTGGCGCTAGGGATCAAAGCCAGGGATTTGTGCACACGAGGCAAGCGCTTTCCCGCTGAGCTACATCTCAGCCTCTAAGCCACCTCGTCCTAACCTGGAGCCCTGGCTCTGTCCCTCGTCCCTCGTGGCCTTAGACCTGAAAGCAGCTCACTCACACAGCTTTATAAAATGGGTTAATAATATTGCAACTTGCCTCTGGGAGCTGCTGCAAATATTCAAATGAGGCCACAGAGGTGAAAGTGGTCTCAGTGCTCAGAGCACAGACCTGGCTGCTAGCAGAATTCTCCGAGAGACTCACCACTCCTAACATCTCAGCCCTTAGGTACCAGCTTTCCCTGCCTGGGCCTCGGCCTGCTAAAGCCGGAGCCTGGTCGCCCCACACTTGTGCACTTCAGGGGCTTGAAGGGAAGTAGCCTTGGTTGCCCCTGCAGCCAACCTGGGAAGCCTCCAGCCACCACTGTCTCCCTAAACCTGTGACACTCATCCAGTGATTTCTCAAAATCTTTTAGATTTATTTTTTAGGAATACTGAGATAAATATTTAAGTTCCTAGGGCAGTGATTTGGAGGGTGATTCTGGAGGCAGACCCATTCGGGACTTCAAAAAGCCTTCTCGGCTTAGCAGGGGGCCTTTCAACTCTCCTCCAGTTACAGGATTAGACTCTTGGCCTGAAGGTTCTAGAATCTGAGACAGTCCCATGTGGGGCTTCATCCCAGCTTCCTCACTTTAGAGAGGGGACACTGAGGAGGCCCAGAGGCTGCCCAGGCGCCTGTGATGGAGGCTCGGCCGGCCTCTGACTTCTTTCTTCCCTGTGCCACAGAGACCTGGGTGTTCATTGTGGAAATCAAAGACAGCTGGGAAGTGTTTCTCTAAAGACCGGACCTGCAAGGTGTCCCCTCCCCTATGATGGGAACATTTTAAGCTATTACTCAAAGAAGATCAGGCTTGGGGACCGGATGGTAGGGAGGGCTCAGGCAGATGGCAGGGGGGGACAAGGCACCATGGGTTTGCTCTGGGCTGACCCTAGTGGCCTCAGCAGGAAGTCCACCTCATGGAAACTGTAATGAAAGAAACTTCCCCAAACTGACACCCTTGTGGAGGCAGGGCCCCCCGCTAGGTCACGGTCTGCCTGTTCCCAAAGGCTGACTCCAGGGCAGCCTGGTCCGCTGCCAGCCCTCGCCCTCGGAGCAGCTGGGCTTCTGGACGCAGGGGGTGGGCTCCCCACCAGACCTTTGAAAATGGCTTCCTGTCTGCCGCTCCATGCGGCCTGGTCACTGGGGGACCTGGCTGTGGCTGGGAAGAACCTGGCTCCCTGACTCTGAGAGCCAGGCTCCCGCCCCTGCTGCTACTGGCGAGGCTCCTGGGCCCCAGGCGGTCCCGTCCTCACCTGCAGAACTCGTTCTTGCTGAAAGCCTGGGTGAGCCACGCACTTGGTTCTGTAACCGAATATTTATCCCCGATTAGGGCTTTGTTTTTTTGGCTGTGGAAACCCTGGGAACTCCTGGGCCCGGCCGCTCCGTTCTCTCCACCCCCCCACCCCCAGGCTTTTCTGGATCCAGTGCTTCCTCCTTGGTCTCCTCGGCTGCTCTCTGGGGGGAGAGGCTCCTTTCTCTACCGCTTTCCTTCTCTCTGTGCCTCACATGATGATGCTGGGAAACAAGGCCGGCCAGCGGGGAGCGCCCACCCGACTCGCAGCTCCATCTTCCAGCCTTTGGCTCTGGACTTTGGCCAAGGGCCACTTCCCAGTGATGTTCCCCAAGATGGATTGGGCTGCTTGCCACTAATCCTCTGCCCTCTAACTGGCCACAGCCCAGTCTCCCGTGATTGACAGGCCCTTGTTTCTAAAAGGAAAGCGAGAAATCGCTCACCTCTCCCCTTGCTGTGACATCATCTCCTGGGATGGTCCCTAGGGTCCTGTGCAGGGGGCAGGGCAGGTGCAGTGGGGGCTCAGAGAAAAGGGACTTGGCTGAGCAGGTGGCCGGAGGGAGCAGAGTGGTACCTGGCCCAGCCTCTGCCCTGTCCGTTGCACTCGGAATTGGCCAGTGCTGCCAGGTGACTTTCCCTGCCCCCGGGGAGCTGCCTCTGGATCCGCTCTGCCCTTCGAGGTAAGGCCCGACCAGAAACCAGGAGGCCTTGGCCCGGCGGCACAAGTCGAGCCAGAAACATGCCACGGGTTAAGAATCGCTTTTCAAATTCTGTTTGTGGTTCTTGCCTGGAACTATGAGTTTTTAATTCAATTCTGGCCTAATTCTAATTTAATTTCCAGCGGACACCATCTGTTTAGATTCAACACTTTGCTTGACATCGAACAATGACTCCCAGCTTGACTCGGCTCCTCTGGCAGGTGGCACGGCCGCCTTGGGACGCGGCGCCAGTCCTGGAGAGATGGGGCGCCTCATTGTCCTCTCTCCTTATTCTTCCCCTCTGCCCCCCTTCTGTGCTTCTTCTGGAGCTAACGCTAGTACCTACTCTTAGGGACAAAACCAGAATCATACTGTCTGTGACAAAGCAGAAGGCTCAGGACACCAGGCCCGCAAGCATTTCCCAGCTGCCATCGGTGCCTCTTCCTCCCCGTGCTCCCCGCTCCTCCCTCTTCTGCCTTCTGGTTTGTCCCCCCTCTTCCCCCTCCTCAGTACCTCTGCTCTGGCTGCCTCCAAGTCCCCTCACCTCAGCAGTTTTGAGTCTCCCCACTTGGCAAGGGTGTCCTGTGTCTCCCCAAGCCTCGAGGTATGCCCTCCAGCCTCCTAAGGCTGGCTGCAGCAGGGGGAGCCTCTGCACCCTGTGAGCTGAGCCACCACGGCCCGGGCAGGAGAGGCCACAGGGAGGAGGAGGAAGGCCGCCACAAGTCCAGGGGCAAAACCATGGCCAGGCAGAGGGCACAGTGACCGTGTCTCCAGGGGAGGCAGTGCCTGCCTCAAACCCATGGGCCCCTCTGATTATCATCAGTGCCCAGGTAAATGGGATGAGGTCACCGATGCCTAAAAAAACACCTTATGAACTTTGGAGAGCGTGTGTGTGTGTGTGTGTGTGTGTGTGTGTGTGTGTCTGTCTGTCTGTCTGTCTGTCTGTCTGTCTGTCTGTCTGTCAGCACCGGTGGCTTTTAAATTTTATTTTGAAACAGAGTCTTGCTAAGTTGCCCATACTGGCCTTGTACTTGCTGTCCTCCTGCCTCAACCTCCCACTTGCTGGGATTCAAGATGTGAGCCACCATGCCCAGCTTAATACAAAGTTTAAGTAATCGAAGTAACATGGTCAGAAATCTTTGCTCGCCCCACCCCATTTTTTTTCTTTCTTTTATTTTTCTGCAGTGCTGGGGATAGAACCGAGCCACATCCCCGGCCCTTTTTGTTTCACTAAATTGCTGAGACTGGCTTTGAACTTGGGATCCTCCTGCCTCAGCCTCCCCATAGCTGGGATTACAGGCTGCGCCACCGCACCCAGCCTGCGTCTCCCCTGCAGGGTCCCAGCAGGCAGCGGCTCCCTCCCTCTGCTGACCGGGGTGGGAGCCTCCCGGATGTCCGTGAAAGTGTCACCGGTTCTCAAGTTCCTTTCTCAGTTTTAGGGCACAATTTTTCTTCCACAGAAAGTTCTCGTGTTCCCCTTTCTCTGGTGCAGCAGTTCCCAGTCCTCTCCTGGAGAGTCCCCGAGGATGGCCACAGTGCCCTTCCCTCAGGGGCCCACGTCAGATCCCTAAGTGGTGGCGTGGGACATCCTCAGGGCCCTCTCCTGGCTCTAGAGAGCCCCTCCTTGAGCCGCTTGGAGTCTGGGTCTCCTTGAACCACCCCCCCCCCCGCAGGCTGCCATGGCCTCTTTAATGTCTCCCTATCTCCCTTCCCCTCCTTGCCAGGCCTCACTCCTCTCTCCCAGCCCTTCCCAAAGGGCAAATCTAATGCCGTCTCTCCAGGCCCCAGGAGGCAGTCCGCCTTCTTTAGCTTACAGCTCCCTGTGGGATCCAGGCCTCACACCCCTCACCAACTCCTACTTACTCTTCAAGACCCAGCCCAGACCTCACCCCCTCCAGGAAGCCTTCCCAGACTGAAACCCTGCCCACCCCAAACTTTTCTTGGTCTGCCTGCCTGTGCACAAGAGCAGTGGAAAGCAGAACAGTCCACCTTCCCGTCAGCGTTTCTAGTGTGGCCTGAGTTGGTGCCCAGCTGTTTGTACAGGGAGGTCATGACACTGCGCCGACCCCCACCCTCAGGAGACCCCTCCTGTCCTGTGGCCCTGGCTGTTGCAGGAAGTACCTCTAAGAACAGCGGGGAACCCAGGGCAGGCTTTGGGTGTGCGGGGCCTGGGCTGAGAGCTGTTGTCTGCTCTGTCCCTGGAGCTGAAGGGCCCGCCACACCCTCTGCTTCCCCCCATTGTGCCTCCTTTCCTGTTGAGCCAGGAGGCGGGGGACATTCTCCCTCCCTTTGAGGACCTGCCTGCACGGAGCGGTTTCTGCTTGTGTTTTCCGCAGCATCTCCCGAGACCCCCCTCTCTGGCTCTCCTCTAGGGGGCTCTGGGGTCTGCAGACTCCGCCCCTGGAGCTGTGTGCTGGGAGGTGGGGTCGCACCCGCTCCCCCTCCGCTCCCTCGAATGGGAAGAGAGGACTGATCAGGTTGCTCTTGTGGGGCTGGGAGGGCTCACTGCACTAAGGGCGCCCCTGCTCTGGGAAGCCTGAGCCGTGGTCAGCCTTGTCCCCAGCTCTGTGGCCGTGGGGGCTCTGAGGAGAGCCCAGCTGGACGCCCGCACGTCCACACATCCTGTTCTTTCTTGAACTCCCTCCTGGAGCCACAGGGAAACGCTGTAGGCTTCTTTCATCTCCTCCTCTCGGGTGACACGGCACACACAAGCCTGGCGGCTGGCCTGAGCTGCTGGCTCTCTGTGTGTGGAAGCCAGTCCAAGCTCCTGAGCAGGGTGGTGGCTCCTTTCCTGGATTAGGGCTGACTCTGTGGGAACTGGACCACCCCTGAGTTAGGAGGGCAGCCCTGATGCCTCCCCAGGGCCCGGGCCTGCCGTGGAGCCCCTTCCTCCTGGGCAGGGGGCACCCCGGGCACCTGTCCTCCCCACCCCTCCTGCCTCCTCCCCTGCAGGTGAACTTCCGCAGCCCCCGGAGCGGCCAGAGGTGCTGGGCAGCACGGACCCAGGTGGAGAAGCGGCTGGTGGTGCTGGTGGTACTTCTGGTGGCAGGACTGGTGGCCTGCCTGGCAGCTCTGGGCATCCAGATCCAGACAAGTAGGTGCCTCTGTGTGTCGTGGTGGGCTCGACGCCCTCCTGCCCTCCGCCCTGTCCAGCTGTGCGAGGGCGGCTTCCTGCTCAAGCTGGGACCGGCTTCCAACGCTGAGCTGGGGCTGGGCTGCTGGGCTCGGGGAGCTGAGGATAGGCCGAGCCCAGGGAGGTGGGCGGCACGGATGGTATGAAAGTCTTGGAACCAGAAGGACCGGCAAGTTCTCAGCTGTGTGACCTGGACAGGCCACGTCACTTCCCAGAGCCTTCGTCTTCTCTACTTTAAATGGGTCAGCAGTGCCCAGTTTGGAGATGGCTCTGAGGACGTACCTGGTGCCTGCGAGGACTGTCTCAGCTCGGTTCTGGGCACTGCTGTTGTTAGGACGTGGGACGGTTAGACAGGCTGCCACTGCCTGCTGTCCTCAGCCCCAACGGACTAGCAACAAAGGCTTCTGTTTACTGTACACCACCCGCGGGCCAAACGCCTGTCATTTAAGTCTGTCGCCTCCTGTCCTCCTCAGAGCACCCCTGCAAGGCCTGGTTGCTTTGGGTCCTTCTCCATATGAGGAAATGGGCGTAGACCAAGTAACTTGGCCAAGCTTACACAGCCAATGGGGGTCGAGTGGCAGGTGGAGTGGAGAAGTGTGCACAGGCTGCCCGCTCCTGAGGGCTCTGGGGCCCAGGCCCTGCCCACCCGCTTTGTAATCAGGATGCACTCCGGAGCACACCAGGACCCCAGAGGAGCTCAGCTCTGTGACCCAAGGCCTTTGCACTGCTCTGTAAGTGGGTGTGTCTGTTCCATCCCACATGGTGATGCCATGGGGCGTCTCAGGTCCTGCGGTCAGGAGTTCAAGGCTGGATCTCATGTCCAGCTGCGTAGATCCAGTCAGTGCCTCATTGCTCAGCCCTTATGCAACCCAACAGGGTGGATTCAGGTTACAACCAAGGCCAGGGGCCCACTCTCCTGTACCCCCCACATCCTGCTTTCTGCTGGTCCACCTGGTGAGCAGCCCCAGGGGTTCCATCCACCAACTTGGTCACTCACCCCATCAGAGAGCTCATGGCTGTGTTGAGCCTTTGCCACTGTGAAGTTGCTGACCTGTGAGGGTAGCCGTGTTGGGCTGGGGTGGGGAGGGCCCTTGGGGGCCTGAGGAGAGGACAGAGACTTCATCTGAGTCACCCCTGCATCCCTCTTGTAGGGGACCCATATCATTCATTCATTCCACAAACGTGACGGGTGCTTACTCTGTGTCAGGCCCTGAGCTAAGGACCTGCGTAATACTTAAGAAATAATCACTTGATTATTTAACTATTTAATGGTTTATGGGCTTTTTACCAAATGTGCCTGGCCCAGCAGGTGCTTAATGCCTATTTGATTCATTAATTACTAATCTCCAGACTTCTAACCATATGTGCCTGGCATCGTGCCTGCATAACTTAACTGTGCAAACAGTAAATCGAATAGACGAAATTTTCTTAGAGATCCTGCACCTAGTGGAAGAAAAAGTAGGCCAAATCTCCATCATGTTGGCCCAGGAACTGGAAGTTGGAGTGAACCACAGAGTAGGAGGATTAAGCCTTTCTCTGCCGAGTGTGTGTGTTACCTGACTGTGCAGGTGTGAGTTGCGAGTGTGTGCATGCACCTCTCTGTCAACAGGGCACATGCAGATCTTCCTCACCCTGAAGCTGCCACCTTACCTTGTCCTCACCGAAGTCAGTCCAGAACAACTGGCCAGTCAGTGTGGAGCCTGGCCAGCCCCGTTGCTCAGCTCATGGCCCAGGACACGGGGAGTGGGGCAGATTCAGCAGCCAGTGTTGCCTGCGACCATCCCTAGGAGTTCCTGTACAGGAAGTTTCTTCACCAGGAACCAGAAGGGAACCCCCAGGGTCAGGTCCTAGCGATCAAACCCAAAACACTTCTGCCAAGTGGGGCCCACACGGAAGAATCCTGCTTCTGCCTTGTGTTCCTGGCTCTCAGGGCCTCAGACAGATTTTCCCTGGCCTAGACCCGGGAGAGGAATGATCCGGGCAGAGGACCAGTGACCCTGGGCCACCTGAGAAAGCAGTGGCCACCTCGGATGTTGACAGTAACCTCGTTACCCAGCAGTAGGTGCTGACATTGGCCACGGATGCGCAAACATCAGGCCAGTCAAGGCAGATCCTCTGGTGATTCTGCAAGACCCGCCGGTGAGTGATGTCTGGCCAGTGAAGTGCATTCCCGTCCACCCTCCTGCTAGGCCCTCCCTCCCGGAAACTCTCAGGTGCTTTGCAAACAGCAGCCGCCAAACAAACGATTATGTTCTCCCAGGAAACATTTCAAAGCATCTTTGATGGCACTACCCAGATGAACGCTTTCGACGTGGGTCTGGATCCTGCTTCTCAGCTGACCACACATCCTAAAGGGAAGAAATATGAGCCCTGCTGCAGGTGGTGACAGGCACTGGGCAAGGCACTTTCATTTCGTCACTTGTTCATTCCACAGACGTGTATTGAAGAGCTGCCGGATGCCAAGCACCGTGACAAGAAGGGGACATAGAGGAGCAAGGGGGATACCTGACCCACCCTGAAGCTCATTTCTAGTGCAGGAGGTGGACAGGGAGATACGGTCATGACCCAGCGCAGCCCAAGCTGAGATGGCAAACACCCAGGCAGCGAGGGACCCAGAGGGGAAGAGGGTCTGGAAAGGTTTCCCTAAGGAACGGAAGCCTTGGATGAGCAGGGCGGAAACCATTAATTAACTAACCAAATTTACACTAAGACCTGCCTGGCCAAGACTATTTGTTTAAAGATCTTCAAATCCTAGAATAGTTAGATAACCCAACGGTCACTGCCCAGGCCCAGCCAGGAACCCAGGGCAGTGTCTGCAGAGGAGGCGCCCGCTGAGGATGCCACCTGCAGGTCCCACTCTAGGTGCCGGTTTCTGCTTTTGTCTTCAACCCTGAGCCCCTCAGCAGTCTGCCTTCTGGGTCTTTCCACCAGCCAGGATCGTGCCAAGCTTTACTTCCTGTGGTTTGGTTGTAAAAACAATAGGTATTCTTTTTCTTTCCCAACTATGAAGTTTTATCATAATAGTGAATAGGCCTTGTCAAGCCACACACAAGTTCTCTTCCGCCTTTCCCCATAAAGAGTCCTGTCGTCGCTGTGGCTGGGGACGGGGACATGCAACTCTGAAACTCATGACGAGCTCATCTGGAAATATTGAAAATGGCAGCTTCGGTCCTGCCGTAGAAGAGATGCTCTGGGTTCACGCACAGTAGCTCAGTAATTTTTGATTACTGCCTAATCTCAAAATTAAGTCACCCTGATTTTCTTGCTGTGGTGTGACTCCTGAGCCCTTCATCCACCTGAAGGACTTGGTGTTTGTCAGCTGAGGTGGATAATGCCCCGGGGGACCTGCTCAAGACCCTCAGCCCTGCTGGGATTGTTTCTGAGTGAGCTGAAGGCTGCAGTCTTTCCTCCTCTCTAAAGATCAGCCTGGAAGCTCAGCCCTGTCTGATGTACCCTGTGCGATGGGATCATGTGAGGTCTTCCTGTCGTCACTGTGAAATGGACCCTGGAAAAACTGAGGCTCAGAGGTTTTGTTTTTGGTTTTCGTTGGCAGTGCTGGGGGTTGACCCAGGGCCTTCGGTGGCAGAGTGCATACTGCCGAGCTGCGCCCCCAACCCAGGCTCGGACTGGAGGTCTCTGCACCAGATTTGAACCCAAATCTACCAGTCTCCAAAGCTACCTGGCCTCACTGCCTCCCTGTGTGGTGAAGGGACCAATCCTGCCAATCAGGCCACTCCAGCTCCTGCTCTGGCCACCAAAGAGGAGACGGACAGCAGGAAAACACGGCCTTGCGGCTGCTGGGCCAGGACAGGCCAGCATTGGCTCCCAGCTCTCCCGTGCGGCTGGATGACCTCGACCTGGTCACTCTCTCAGAGCCTCAGTTTCCTCAGGGACATCCCACCCGCATCTGACGCTGGAGAGAGGGTTGACAGACCATGAATGTAGGGGGTGGTCCTGGTGCCCAGCCTGTTCAGGAAGCAGTCCCCCCTGCGGCCTAGGTGGCTCCTGTGGGCAGGCCATGAGCCTCTGGGGACCTGCCAGATTGGTCCCTTGCGAGAGCTCATCAGACAGCCTTGAGGCAGGGTCCGGCCCTTGCTCACGCCTTTGGCAAACCAGCCTCTCAGGTTGTTTCTGTTTATTTATTTATTGTTTTGGTTTAGGGTTGTTCAGCCACCGCCCCACCCCAACACACGCCCCCCCCCTCAATTGGGACAAGCAGCTCTCCTGCCTGGTGAGGGAATGGCTTCTCCCAGTCCTTTCCCTGTCCCTGAGTCCTGGTACCATATGTCCGCATCACCCAGTTGGCTCCTAGTCAACGTTCGGTTTAGTTTTGTAAGTAAGTGGCCGTTTCTCCTGGTGTGTTTTGACTTTGCTTATGTAACATGTGTGTCCCCAACAGAAGGGTGGGCTCCTGAAGGGAAGGCCTGCCTGCTGTCTCCCCGCCTCGCACACCCTCTGTCCTCGGCAGAGGGCCTCAGTATTGATTTTGTGGAGTAGCTGAGTGCGTGCACGAGTGGATCAGTGCGCTGAGCGTCGGGGAATAATAAGAAGTCAGAGAGTCTTTGTGGAGGGAGGGTGGATGAAGGGAAAAGCAGCCCTGGGTGTGCTGGTGCCCTCCTGTAATCCCAGATTACGTCGGAGGCTGAGGCAAAAGGAGAGGACATTTGAAGTCCCCCTCAGTTTAGCAAAACTGTCTCAAAGTAAAAATGCTGGGGATGTAGTTCCGGGGTGATGAGCCCCTGGATTCAATCCCTAGAGAGAGAAAAAAGCACCTGGGCTCCAGGTTCTTTTAAGCCACAGAAGGGACTTTAGGCAACGGGCCGAAGTCTTATTTCACAAACCGGAAGATCATGAAGCTGCTGCACCCTTTCTTGTTCGGGGTCTAGTGACCATCCAGTTCCTAGTCTGTTGGGTCAGGGCAAGGGTGGGGCACGTGTGCTGGGGGCCCTAGGCCACCGGCACTGCCCTCCCCAGCCCTCCTCCCTGCCCATCACTGACTTTTTTCCCTTACCCCTCCAGGAGCACCCCCCGTGTGCCTGAGCGAGGCCTGCGTCTCCGTGACCAGCTCCATCTTGAACTCCATGGACCCCACGGTGGACCCCTGCCAGGACTTCTTCAGCTACGCCTGTGGGGGCTGGATCAAGGCCAACCCCGTGCCTGATGGCCACTCGCGCTGGGGGACCTTCAGCAACCTCTGGGAACACAATCAAGCCATCATCAAGTACCTGCTGGGTAAGCACCAACGGGGACACTAAGGAATGGGCTGCAGGGGGCGCCACCTACTGCACCTGCCAGCCAGGCCTGGTCACAGGAGGGGCTTTGCCCTGTCACTCGCTGTGGGGCCCTGCTGTGTGAGTTATTCATCTCTAGTCTCAGTTTCTTTGTGTAACAGCATTAATAACATCCAAACTGTAGAGTTGTTTTGTTTGAGGTGCTGGGAATCAAACTCAGGGCCTTGCATATGTTAGGCAGGTGCTTTGTCAAAGTTTTGAAACAGGGTACTTGCAAAATTAGCCAGGGTGGCTTCAAATTTGCAATCCTCCTGCCTCAGCCTCCAAAGTAGCTGAGATTACAATCATGCAGGGCTTTGAGCACTACAGAACACACTGTGATGCATCAGCTTATCTGTGACATATACCAGGCACACAGGAGCTGATAGCTGTGGTCATTTTATTTTGTGGCTTCAGGATGCAGCATTGTCCTTGGCTAGCATTGACTGAGTTTTGAAAGCTGTGAGCAAATGGAGTTGAGGCTGGACATACCACATCAGACTTTAAGGCTACGGCCCAACGAAAGTTCTAACAGCTTATCGGAGAGTTAAGTTGTCCACGTAGGCAGGGGTCTTCCGTGGCCTCACAGACTCTCCAAAGTACTTTTGACTTTGGGGTTGATGGTTTCATCCTCAGATTCCAATCCCCGTCTGCCTTGTGTGCAGCTGGGTTTCTGGTTCATGTTGCTGAATTCCCATCAGCCCCACGGAACCCAGAGGGAGTTGCAGCGCCAGGCTGCACCCCAGTCCTGACTCAAACCCCATGGCAGTAGGGACCTTTTCCTGCTGCCCCCTGCTGTCCCCTGCTGTCCTCTGTCCTGGGACCCTAATGCTGGGAAGGGCCAGATTATGAAAAAAACAATCCATGCAGCCATGCTGGACAGACCTTGGCTTTGACAAATACTCATTAACTTTTTGAAAACCACTCAAGACACCCAAGGTAGGTAAAATGGAAGAAGCTACCTGAGAGGGGACAAATCTTCTCAAAAGGACAGTCATCTCCTTACGAGACAGGAAATGATTCTAATTTGACAATTATGAAATCAAGGCAGCTGGGGCTCTTGGTGAAGGTGAAGGAGTCCTTACTCGCTCGTGCCTCGTGCTGGGGCACAGCTGCCACCAGGTAAAACCTGCCTGTCCTTTCTCCTTGACCCGGGCAGTTCCTGGGTGGGATGCCCCTCAGCACCCAGTGCAGGGACAGCCTCCTGCTGGCCCCCCAGGGATGGAGCAGGGTGGTACGAGAACGTGGAGTGAAGGAATCTGCAGGCCAAGATGGCCAAGCCCCAGCCTGAGATGGCCCCGGGCCATCTGAGGCCACCAAAGGTGTCTTCCAAAGGGGGTGCCGCCTTTTGTTTTAGATCTGGAAGCTCAAGTGGCAAATATGTCGGTGGTTTCAAGGCTACAACTCAGGACAGTCCCTTCCCCAGAGCCCAGTGACACAGCCGGGGCCTTGGCAGGACCATAACGAAGCATCGGGTGGTCCAGACATGTAGCGAGGTGGGCTGGCCCTCGCTGCAGCCGCAGGAGCTGGGTTCAGTGCCGACTCTTGCTGCGGGGTCTGGGCCAGTCCCGGAGCCTGGTTTTTCATTGACACACTGGCAACCGCGCTCCTCCAGGTTGTAAAATTTAATGGGAAAATATGAGTAAAGAGCTCTCCTCAGTCTGCATGTGGTGGTTGCTCTTTGCGGTGGTAGTACTCTCATTCCTCACATTAATCCCCGCACAGGACTGTACGGTTCACAGAACGCATTTTATCCTGTAGGGTGGAAGCTGGGGAGGTATCGTTCACCTCATCTGATAGATGAAAAAACTGAGGTTCAGAGAGGTCCTCAAGATAGGCTCATAGTTGGCCTGATTCCTGGTCCTGTGCCCTTTCCCCTGCCCCATGCCCTCTCCTCAGGTATAAGGGACAGACATAGCTCCCTTGTCACTCTGTTGAAGGGAGCACAGAACACTGAGGGCTGAAGGAGAGTGGGAAGGACACTGGCAGTTTTTGAGTGTCTGTTATGTTTTTGGCTGTTTATATCTACTGCCTCTTTAATTCTCATTAACATCCTGGAACTTAGGGATTGTCATTCCCATTTTATAGATGAGGAAACTGAGGCTCAGAAATGTGAAATAATTTTGCCAAGAACATACCTTCATTCCAGAATGGAGGGGGGCTCGTGCTCTGGGGGGCAGATAGCATCGAGGAGGGGAGGAGGAAAGATGGGCAATTAGGCCCAGAACCACTCCTTTTGCTTTGTGGTCAAGGGCGCTGGCCTCTTACTGTCCTGAACTGATTCTTACTGGGAGGACCTTAGACCTGTGCCAAGATTGGATCCATCCTGTCCTGTTCCCTGTACGTTGGCAGGGCTCATGAGGAGTGGCCTCCAGGCCTGGGCCGTAGCCTTACATCACCGTGTCCCTGAGAGTCCCGTTGTACATGGAAAGCTGCTCTGAGCCGGGCACAGAACAGCCGGCACCAGGCCATCAAACCCTTGACCCCAGGGCCAGGGGCTGATGGTATCAGGAGGCAGACCAGAGAGCTGCGAAGTCTGGTGGCCTTGGCATAAGCTTGGCTGCTGCCAAGTGACCTGCTTCTCTCCACCGTAGCTCCAGTCTCTGTGAAATGGAGGAGCCAGTGCCACCGGGAGTGAGGCGGCTGTGACACTGACTGGCACGTGTGGTTCAGAGGGCCGCGCACAGGGCCTGGCACCCACCGAGGGCTCAGCAGGGCATGGGCGCCCTTCTTGGTGGGGTGGGTTCCAACCGGACTTCATCCTGACAAGCTGTGTGACTGCAGAGGGCCACCAGCCTCTCAGGCCTCAGCTCTCCACCTGTGAAGTGGCGTCTAGCTCACGTGGTTAATCAGGATGCTCTAAGGGAAAGAATCTCTGCTTATTTTATTTCTCAGGGAAGCACAGACGCGGACCTGGCTCCAGAGCAGGCAGTACAGGCACGTCCGCGCCACCGAGGCCTTGGGTTACTTCATTTTATTCCCGTGGTGCATTCAAGTAGGCACCAGTATATTCCCATTTTACAGATGAGACTCACAAAGACAAAAGAAGTGTATTTCCCGGGAAAAGGTGGAGCTGGGATCAGCTATGGGGCCTCAGAACTTCTGTCCTTTGTCTCCTGGCTCTCCTGAAGTCAGATTCCCACGGACAGGCCCTGCGTGATGCTGCTCAAGAGATTGGCTGAGCAGAGCCTCTGGCCTCATGGCTCCCATCTGCAGTGGCTGCTTGGCCGAGCTTTGCAGGCCAGCCAAGCCCTGGCCTAGGCCTGACTCAGTACTGGGGTCACCTTCGCGTCACACTGACCAGAGGCTTGGAAGGCACATCCTGGGGTCCCGTCCCCATCAGGGTTACTCCTGGGGATTAGTCTAGAACAGCCCCTCACCTGCGGGCCTCGATACCTGGGGCCTTGATACCTGGGTGGACACTGGAACAAGAGAGAGTGCTCAGGCTCCTCTGAGGTCACCCGGAGCAGACTTCTTTCTAGATGGACAGAGGAAAGGATATTTGCAGTGCCGGCAAGGATGGCGTCCACTGGTCCAGAGGACAGCAACTACCATCCATGTGCCAAGTGAGCTTGGGCAAGCCATGTGTTTCTTTCATGGGTGAATTCACCCCAGGCCCCTCAGGAAATCCAGAGACCTGGAGCAGGTGGGCTGAACTAGGCCCGGGGCCACTGTGGTATGTCCTCCTTGCAGCCTGCTGGCTGGAGGGTGCGGCCTCAGCTGTTCAGAACACAGGCGCCTCACTGCACTCTGCCTCTCCCCCAAGAGACATAGAAGCACTACCTTGTGGACTTAGGGGAGACAAGAGTGTGGCCTCACCAGATACAGGGGCGCAGGCCTTAATCCCAGCCACTTGGGAAGCCAAAGCAGGAGGATCACAAGTTCGAGGCCAGCCTCAGCACTTTAGCGGGGCCCTAAGCGACTTAGTGAGACCCTGTCTCAAAATGAAAAGTAAAAAGGGCTGTGGATGAGGCTTAGTGGTTAAGCGACTCTGGGTTCAGTCCCAGGTACCAAAAAAAAAAAAAAGTGTGGCCTCACATCATCGGGGAAGCGGACAGACAGGCCCCTCACTCCTTAGCCTGGCCCTTGCCTGAGGCTTTCCCACTGTGCTTGGATCCAGTCTCTAGAGTGCCCCCACCCGGCCCTTCAAGACCCCTTCGACCCACTGCCTCTGTTGAGTCTTCCAAGGGCTTCTTAGGGCCTGAGCTACATCGTGGTACTGCCAGGTTTACTCTACAATATCTGCAATCATATATATATATTTTTTTTTTTTTGCATAACAAAAAAACGTAATGCAAGCTTGTAACAATGCAAGCAATACCGGGATCATAAGGAAAAGTTCACAGCCTCCTTCCTTCTATCCCAAACACCAGTCTACACATGCACGCTATTCCAGCAGCATGAGATGTGTCCACGTCACTGATCTGGCAACGAATCAGGTCACTCTGTGTCATCGCTCATGGTTTTGTTTTTATGTTTCCCGCATTTGCTGTTTCATCTTCCTGCCCTCTGTGACAGGCTGTGCCTCTGAAATGCTGGCTCCATGCGGAGCACATTCTGGGGACAGGGCCACTCTGGGGTCCCAAGGGCATAGAAATTGTTTGGCAGCCTGAGACCAGACCACAGAGTTTCCAACTGCCTGGATACTTCCTTCTTGGGGCCCTGAGTTCCAGAAACTTCCCCAGTCACTTCCCCAAAGTCCCGGAGAGGAAGGACAGCATCCCATTTAATCGGGCCACTTCTTCCTCTGGGAGTTTTTATTGGAACACCCTTTCCCACATCACTCCTCAGGAGCCTGCAGGAGCCCAGGCAGGAGAGCGGTGACCCAGGGGGGCAGAGCAGTGACCCAGGCAGGCTGCGGGACGGGGGGCTGGGAATTCCGTGGTCTCCCTGGCTGCAGCAGGACTGCCTGGCCAGGGACGTGTGGGGCCCCCACCTCGCCATCAGGGCAGGACCTGTGTTTGTTTTAGATAAAAATCACAGACTCAGTTCCAACAGTCACAGGCCTCCGGAGCCCCATCCTGCTGGGGAAGGGGGAGCTGATAAAGAAGGCGCCTTGTTCTGCAGGAGAGAAAACATAAGGATACCATGTGTCGTTGCCATTCCTGGTGCCTACTGCAGGCCAGGCCCTGCACCGAGATCTGGTGGACAGCCCATGGGGATTCAGCAGCATCCTCGCATTTCAGAGACAGGGAGAAGGTTAGGCCCAGGGAGGGGAGGGGAGGCGCCTGCCTGGGAGGTCAGAGCCCACAGCGGCTTGGGCTTCCTGGAATTTGAACCAGGGCCACTTAAGCCTCTCTGGGGAACAGCCACCCCTGTATGGGTGTGGCCGTGTGTGTACATCTCATCCTAACAGTTCCCACTGCGGCCCTTACTAGTACCATACCCAATTTATAGGTGAGAGGTTGGGTAACTTACTGGAGGTCGCACGAGTCAGTGGCTGAGGCCCAGGGCAGAGGTCCACTCGGGGGTCTGGTAGAGATCCTCAAGTGTCTGAACCTGAACTTCAGACCGACGCTCTTCACTTGCCACTGGTTCCCGGGCTCCACATCCTGGTAAGGGCAGCTGCTTGCCCAGGCTGAGGAAGCCTGGCACCGTTCCTGACACTCTCACCCCTCCTCTGCTGGCCCATGCCCCCATCTTGGCCCACCTGCTCTACTCCAGTGGCCTCCACCTGGCCATCTTGCTTCAGCACTTGTCCCTGGAGCCCTTGAGTGAGGAAGGAGAGGTGGGAAGAGGAACTTGAACTTCCACCAGGGCTCCTGCCCCAGCCAGAGCTGAAGCGGGGTCCAGGCGTGGTGCCCCTGGAGGGGGCGTAGCACAGCACACACCTGCATTTCCTCTCCATGCAAATCCTGGGTGGCACCAGCCCCATCACCCTCCTCCCCTGAGGTGACATCCTCCTTGTTAAACACGGACGCTGAGCTCCCTTCTTTGAGCTCATGTTGCTGAAGGCCTACTTTGTGCCTGTTCAGGTTCTGGGGACACAGGGATGACTAAGACACAATGTGGGGCGAGGCAGCCCACGCAGCCCCACTCCCGCTCCACGTCAGCCTCCTCCTGCCCAAGCAGGGCTTCCTCTGGCCGCCTTCCCAGGCCTCTCCCACCGTCCTCTCATGGCTTCCGGCACCTTCTCTTCATACTCCGTCTCTTGTGACTTTAGTTGCCAACTGTTCACCACTGGGCGGCCAGCTTCCTCGGACAGATCCGTGCATCTCCACACCCAGCCTGGAGGCCACCAAACACCAAAACCCCACAGCTGTGGGAAAGCCAGTGAGCGGGACCCCAGGTTGCTGGAGGGACTTTGGGCTTGGTTGGGGAGCCTCTCCACAAAGGAGAGAGGGAGGCCATGCTTGAAGGCGGTGTCCTTGACCTCCAGGTGCTAGGGAAGGAAGGGCCAGGCAGCCTCAAGCTGGAACTCAGAATGTGCTGTGATTAGCACAGCCAGGCTGTTCCTGGTGAGCCTTCCGTGGGCCTCTTATCTGGGTGGCCTTGGGCTCTGGAGGAGGGAGATGCCAGGCCCTCTAGCTGTGCACAGAGCACCTCCCCTAACAGTGGCCCTGGGATTCAGGGTCATGACTGGAGCCAGATGTGGATGGTGAGGCGCAGCTTCTGGGCCTGGCAAATGATGACAGTTCTCCTGCTTGTCCTTCCAAGAGCCTAGCTGCTGGGAAGGGAAAAGCATTGCCACAGAGCTGAGGCCCCTGGGGTTTGGGACTCCCCTCTGCCGCCCCATGCTCTGCTTCCTGAGTCGGAGGTGTGGCAGCAACCCTAGCTCGGCCCCCTTTCCCTCCTTTGTCCCCAGGAAGCCTCACACAGGTGTCTCCAGAGCCCAGCAGCAGCCCTGGGTCTCCAGGGCAGGGCTTGCCCCTCCCTGTTCAAGCCCCCAACCTCCGTCTCTGGCTCAGGGCCTTCTCCTGGCTCTGACCTGCCTTCAGTCCAGCCCGCCGCGTGCCCTTTCCGGTGCTACCTCCCAGATCTCAGCTGGACTGGGCTTGATGCCCTCTGACCAGTGATAGCCATGGTGCTATTTATGCCAGAATGGAGGGACGGGGGGCCTTCTGGGGTGAGGACTGGAGAAGCTGATTAAAGACTGGCCAGGAAGTGACTCGTGCCCTTGGCACCCAGCGAATGCCACACACTTTCCTTTTCTTCCAGCAGCAGGCCTTTCCTGCTTCCTTCCTTGGCCCCACGCTGTCCACTCCCTCCACCCAGTGCCCTTTGCCCTGTTTCTACCTGGAGACCGCCTTTGTTTCTCTTTGAGACCCAGCTCCAATAGAACCTCCTCTGGAGGCCCCCCCACCCCCAGGCAGAGGGGGGTGCTTCTCTGTGTTCCAGAGCCTCTGCAGTGTTAAAGCACTTTTGTGTGCTGTGTCCCTTCCTTGGCACATCTATGTCCCCGCTAGACCGTAAGCTCTTTGGGGATAGAGAGCAGGTCTTAATTTTGTGCCCAGAGTGCTGAGAATGTTCTGGAAGGAGCAACATAGGAGAGGCTCTGGGTAAAAAAAAAATAGACTGAGAAAGGATGGAAGCAAGTGGGGTTTTAGCAGGGTCCCATGCCGAAGCCTCCTGGGGTTGAGGATATTGTCGCCTGGCCCCAGAGTACCCGCAGTACCTGGCACAGAGCAACCCTTTGCTCTGCGTCCCATGGATGGATGGATGGATGGGTTGATAGAGGCCCACGAGAAAGGTGCCTGTGGAGGAGGTGGGTTTGGAGAGATCTTGGGAGAGAGCAAAGGAAGAGGTTTAAAGTCAGAGAGCAGCTAATCTGAGAGAAGGACAAGTGGCCAGCCCAGGGTGGGAGCAAGGTGGACAGATGGACGCAGGGGCCAGGAATCTGACATGGTCTGGAGTGGAGCTCTGAGACAAACATGCAGGCCCAGAAGCCCCAGCACATAGTAGGTCCTGGGGACCTGAGTACTCAAACTCGCCAGGTACAGATGGGGACCTTCCGTGCTGTGCTCACACAGGAGGGTGGCCTTCAGCAGGCGGCTCTGGACCAGGGGCTAAGGAGAGGGGGGATGGGAAGGGAGTCTCCGGGTGGGTGTCTGAGAACCAAAGAGGATGAGGTACTGCTGGCCTGAGCTGGGGAGGGACGGGGAAAACAGCCCTTGGAGTTGTCCGCAGGTCTGTTGACTGCGCCTGGCCCCCCGAGGAGGAAGTGGAAAGTCAATCCACAGTGAATGAGGCCTTTCAGGCTTCACTCAACCCCAGTGTTTCTCACAAGGAAGGTGAGCTGCGATCTGAAGCCGAGACATGGCTCTGTCCCAGCACCAGGCAGGGGAGTTCCTGCCACGTGTTGGCTGGCAGGGATGTCGACTGTCCTGCTGGGTGGGCCCGGGCTGCCATGCCAGGGACAGGTCCTCAGGCCCGATCAGCAGATGGGCAGAGACAGGGCATGCCCTCCTGATCTGCACCCAGCTAGGATGGGGGCACCTCCAGTGTGCCAGCTCTGCCCAGGGTCACTCATACCCACTGGGGCTGGCTGCTCCCTGCCTGACAGCAGCTGCCCTGACGGCTTCACAGTGGGGAGCACCGAGGCTCCAAAAGAAACTTGCCTGGGGATCCCTAGCAGGTAAATGGGGGCTTATTCAATATCTGCTATCTCTTATCCTTCTAGAAAATTCCACAGCCAGCTCGAGTGAGGCAGAGAGGAAGGCCCAAGTATACTACCGCGCATGTATGAATGAAACCAGGATCGAGGAGCTCAGGGCCAAGCCCCTGATGGAGCTGATTGAGAAGGTGAGTCCCTGGGACACACTCTGGCCTCCCGCCTGCCGCGCCTCCTGCCAGCCCCTCTGGCTGCAGCTCTCAGGCAGGCCCACTGGTGCTCAGCCACCCCACACCTCCAGCCTCCGCACCCAGCTGGAACACGCAGCCAGTCTGTCTGCCACTGCGTGTGCATGCACGTCTGTGCGTGGGGGGACTGTCTGTTGTAACGTGTAACGTGTGGGGTTGTGTGTCGGCATCTGTTGAGGACATCTAAGTGTCTCAGTGCAGCTGCGTGGGCCTTGGGGACGATATTCACTGGGAATCTCTTCCTCTGGATTGCCACTTCCCTTTCCTCAGGAGGTGGGTGTGAGTGTGCGAGAGGTGTGTGTTGTTCCAGAGAAAGCAACAAGGGAGTCTTAGGCCAGCAACAGAGCCAGACCTGCTGGCTGGAGGCCTCGCCTTGCTCCTGAGCCCAGGAGAAATCTTCCCTCCGGGCCAGGCTGCCTGGCACAGACAGAGATGGCTGCGGCTTTTCTGGCCACCCTTTGCTTGCTCAAGGGCTTACCATCCTATCTCAGTTCGGGGAAGGTATTGCTGCAGGCATGGGGACTCTCCCAGTCCCTCCTCTCTGGCACAGGCCCCATGTGCCAGTGTGTGCCAATCCTGGAGGACCAAAGAGACTTTTTTTTAAGTCCCAACTTGGAGAGAGACCAAGGTAGACCACAGCTTATCAGCCTTTTTCAAAATACAGAGCCTTATTTCCCGTAGTCACAATTGGATTTATGTCTTAATAGTAATCTCGTTGGTGTGATTGATTGTCCAACAAATGAACAGCACAGGGGGCAAAGTCTCTGGGATTCAGAGCTCAGTTGTCAAGGATGAGTCTTTGCTCCCTCTGTGGGTCTCCAGGTCACAGGTGAGAAGCCCTTTCATTTGCTCTGGACGCTCCCAGAGGTCAGATGACTGCTCCAGGGTCACAGAGCAAGTCAGCTGCAGAACCGGAATTTGCATACAGGCTCCTTACCACCTTCCCCTCCCTGTCTGCTCTGCCTTCTCCCAGCTCGGAGGCTGGAATATCACAAGTCCCTGGGCCAAGGACAACTTCCAGGACACCCTGCAGGTGGTCACTGCCCACTACCGAACCTCACCCTTCTTCTCCGTCTATGTCAGTGCAGACTCTAAGAACTCCAATAGCAATGTGATCCAGGTGAGCAGGCCTGGGCCAGGGAAGCAAAGGGTGTGGCCTCCTGGGGTGGAGGGAGACCTGCCCTGGGCCGCGGCAGCAGGCTCTGGTTTCTAAGCCGGGGTTATTTCTGGCAGCCCCAAGCAGTGAGATTTTTACAGGCAAGAGACTATGAGAGGGCAGACTAGCCATCTCGGTGGGCAGCTCATCGTGGGCCACAGAAATGACAAGTGATATCAACTCCTGGGCACAGCTGTAGCCACCTCTTTGTCCCCTCCCTTAGCCTCTGGCTCTGTGGTGCTGCTTGGAATGCTTTTGGTCCATCTCTCCCACCAGAGCCTGCCCAAGGCTGAGGATCAGCACACCCAGGAGAGCCCCCAGATTAGGGGTCATAAAGGCTTAGTTCTCAGCCCAACTGCGCCACTCACTCACCGTGTGACCTTAGCAAGCGTCAACCTCACTGAGCTCCACTTTCCTTTTCACCCTAATGAACTATATAATAGCAGCTACCCAAGTTGAGTCAAGGTATAGCCAGAAGGTTCCAATGGTAACCATCAGGAATTGACCCTCCTCTGCCTGCCCCACTCTCAGAAACCCTGTACTGACACTGTCCTCTTGAATCCTCATTCCAGCTCCGAAGGTTAGGTGTGACCTCCCTAACTTTCTGGGCGAGGAACCTGGGGATCAGAAAGGTTAAGTCACTTGTGTTGGCTCCTCGCCACTTGGGAAGGGTTTAGAGAAGTAGAGTGCATTGCTGAGGCCAAGGGGTGTTTGAAGAGGAAGGAGGCTCTGTCCAGCCCTCAGAAGGGCCCAGGTCCCTGCAGCTGACCCCACAGGTGGGCAGGAACGTGTCTGTCTTATCACCGAGTGATCCCATCTGTGACTTCGGCTGCCGGCTTGTGCTCCTGCTGGGACGTGAGCTGGTCCGCAGTGCCTGGTGTGAGAAGTCCTGGGGCAGGCAGAGGCCGCAGGGGACACACAAGCCTGCAGCAGGGCCTTCCTCTCACTCTGCCTCCCTCTTTAGGTGGACCAGTCTGGCCTGGGCCTGCCCTCCAGAGATTACTACCTGAACAAGACTGAAAACGAGAAGGTGAGTGGGACTTTGCAGTGGTTCTCCCACCGAGTCCCCCACAGCATACCTGGGCAGGTCTTAGAAGCTGGGGGAACACAGGGGTATCACTTTCCTGATGGGCAACAGGCAGCCCAGTCAGGGGAGGGATGCCCCCAGGCTCGCTAGTTC